TTGTCCTTTTGCCTCCTGTCTTGAGCCCTTCACGTTCTGGGTGTGAGCAGGGTGTGAGCAGGTGTGAGCAGGTGTGAGCAGGGCCTTCTCTCACTGCTTTTGGGGAACTGGTGGTTCCCTGATCTTGCGCGCTCGCGCCCTCTGCTGGGGCTGCTCACGGGTGGACCTTGCGGCCGGGCGCTGGTTGCCTAGGAGCCTGATGCTGCTCTGCTGTGGTTGCCTGGCAACAGATGCTTGCGCAGCAGCGGCTCTCAGTTTCCCGACAGCTCCACTCCTCTGCTCCAGATAAGCAAGCTAGTGTTCTGGAATCTGATCCAATGGCTTGAAACGAATGAGGATCGTTTTCTCACACTTAAATAGCAGAGGACCGGACGATTGGGTTAAAAAAAAAAAAAGTTTGGGGGCAGGGAATGTGGCACTTGCCTCATGTTGTTCCCCAGGCAGCACCAAGGGAAGAAGACAAGGAGGGAGGGGACAGGTCTTGAGCTCCTGTCTGGTAATAGGCAAATGCTGGCTTGGCAGTTTTCACAAGAAACGTTTCTCCCATGAACAAGGAAGGTACAGGAGTGTTTGGGGTTGTCACATCTGTCATGGGTGGAGGCGTCACTGTAGATGATGTTTCACTGACTTTGTGGCCGGTCATTTACCCTCTCACTCACCCCTCTGCTCCTTAAAGTGATGTTACCATGGTTCCTGTCTTTGGGGACTATTGCCAACACTGAATAAAGTTTTTCACGGACAGATGAAGCCCACTGCCACCCTGATAGATAGCTAGAGGCTGTTTTACAGGGCAGATATTCTCACTCTCTTGCTGATAAACAAATGCATGTTCCAGTAGAGTGTGTGTTTCATCAAATCTCCTTATCTACTCCTTCTTAAATACCAAACATTGTTGTCTTTAACCTTAATTTCTAAATGTGAACACATCAAAACCTATTGTTATATTCTCAGGGTAACTGAATATCAGTTTGTCTTAAAACAGTGGCTTCTGAGTTCTAACTGAATTATCCCTTCATAAGTTTTCACAGATTTTTTTGTTTCCCTTTCTCTAACAACATATAGAATTTTTGTCATTAAAAAAGAACCCATACTTTTACAAACTCTCTACCCCACACTATATTTTTTATGTATGTTTTCTCAGCTTCTGACTGCCCACCCCATTAGCCACGTTATCACCTGTACAGAGACATGCTAGCTCACTCACAGGTGTGGCACCCGTGCTAAGTACTCTTGGTTCACAAACTAGAACTTTAGCCTAGCTCAGGATGGAGTGTGACGCTGTGCATTTGTGTCTGCGTATGTCAAGAAGGGTTATCAACATGCTATGGAAACAGCCCAGGTGTCCATCAATGGATGAATGGATAAAGAAAATGTAGGATTTATATGCACAATGGAGTTTTATTCAGCCATAAAGAAAAATGAAATTATGTCATTTGCAAGAAAATGGATGGGGCTTGAGACCATCAAGTTAAGAGGAAAAAGCCAGACTTGGAAAGTCCAGGTCGTACATTTTCTCTCATGTGTGGAAGCTAAAGAAAAGGAGGAAGGGAAGAAAAGGAGGAAGGAAAGCCCATGATAATAACAAGAAGATCAGTGGAGCAGAGGAAGCTGATAGTGGGGGGGGGGGAAGAGGGGAGGCAAAGGGAAGGCACCAGGGATGAGGTGGGCCAGAGGATAGGGTTATACTGTATCATGTACAAATGTGTAACAGCAAAACCCACTGTTATGTGTAATTGTAATTAACCAATAAAAATTTTTAAAAGAAGAGTTATTTCATTTTTAAAGTATTATTTCCCATATAGTGAAACAATGGAGAACTATTTTACAAATTTAAAGTATGATCATGAGATTCCTTTAGTGAGAATCCGCACTTTGACCAGGAGCTATCTCTGGCTTTTGCGAACTCGTCATTCCACTGAACAAGGACCCAGAGAGCACCCATGACTCTGACGCTGAGGCAGGTACAGATGGGCAGACCCAGCCCAGCTGGCAGTGTCACAGCCAGTGGGGTTCGAGGGGGCAGTAGCAAGCCATCACCTGGGCCCAGTAAGAGCGCGAGAGGGTGCCTAACCCTGGCCATGAGGGAGGCGCCCATGCGAACTGAAGGATGGGTGTAAATAGGAGCTGGCTGAGAAGAGGGGCCACAGGTATTCCCCAGGAGGGAGTGGCTGGCCCATTGAACCACCTGCTCCGGACTGTGGAGTGTGGGGTGGGAGGGGGAGAAATGAGAGCTGAAGTTAGAGGTTTGGCAGGGCCATGCCGTGGGTTGTAGATGGTGGGCCCAGTGGCGTGGCTGGATGTGCACTGTCACTGTGACATCATTGTGCCAGGTGCACTGGATTCAGCCAGACAGGAGGACCCTGGTAGAAAGGGTCAGGATTCTGCTGAAATCCAAGGCTTCAGTGGAGGCAGATGAGTGAAGAGGACAGGACACCAGTTCAGGGCATAGGTCCAAAGGGACACAGTCACTTTGGGAGTTTGCAAGAAGAAAAAGGAGTCCTGCATGATGCCCCTGGTCCTGGAAATCAGGGTCCTTTATTCCAGAGAGAGCACAGAGGGAGAGGGCCCATCCAACACTGGGGGGGGGGGGCTCAGTCCAGGGTAAGTCTAACTGGAGATGCCTGAAGATCTCGGTGAGTTCAGGGACAGTGGCGGATGGCAGGGTGCACCAGGCTGCAGGTCTGATGCTGATGTCCTCAGAACTGGGCATATGGAGTCCATAGGATGCAGCCAGGCCCCAGGAACTTGGCTCAGGGAGTCAGAGCTCAAGTCCCCGCCAGGGGTGAGCAGAGGCCAAAGGGCAGCATGGGGAGCCAAAGGCAGGAGCTCCAGGAGGGGTCAGAGCTGGCTCCCCTGAAGAGGTCGAGGTCCTGGAAGCCCACTAAAGAGGATGTTTTTGGTGGAAGGCACAGGCCAAAGCCAGAGTGGCCAGGAAGCAGGAAATGCTGGCAGAGGCCCAGTGCAGGAGGAAAGCTGGTAGAACTGACCAGGTGCCAGAATGAGGTTTTGTTTGATTATAATGGGACGGAGCTTCATGTGTCTGCCTGCTTGAAGGAAACCAGAGTGTGGGAAGAGAGGCTGAGGAGAGGGAGAGCTGGAGGGTGCAGAGGACAGAAGCCCACCCCAGCCACGTGGAAAGTGCAAGGACTGGCAGGCCTGGCTTCTCCCTCAGGACAGAGGCCAGTGTGCGAAACTGCCGGCAGATGGTGTGGGTTTGGGGAGGCAGGGCCGGCGGGGGCTTAAACATCTGAGCAAAGACATGGATTTGGTGAGCAGTGCCCAGGTCCCGCTGGCCCCAAGGCAATCTGTCCACACACACAAGAGTGATCTTCAGGGCTGGATGCTGGTGTCCACGACTTTGGCCCAGTCGCGGCTTGTGGCTTTCGCCCTCCTGCCTCGCGAGTTCAACACTGCGAAAGTAAAGCTGCTGACCCCTTGCTGCCCGCCTTGCGGCGGAATGGAGAGCCCTGGACTTCAGTCACCCTTCAGGACAACAGGTGCCCTCTCTGCTCTGCGGCCACAATGCCGAATTCGACGCCACGGTGCCTTCTGAGAAGTAGTAGAGCTGTCCCCAACTGCAGAGGAGAAACCTGGGCTGGAGGTAAAGCGAGCGAGCAGGGAGGCGGCGGCGTGGGTGAGCGGAACAGTCTAGAAACTGCAGGGAACAAAGGCGGAGTGACTGGCGCTCCGAGACCCTCCTCCCTGATAGAATATGCATGATCCTGAGCGAGGCCTCGCCGCCCGCCCGGAGCGGGGAGGCGTCCAAGGGAGGCGGGGAGCGCGCGCCCAGACGCACTCTCGGGCGCGGGGTGCGAGACAGCCAGGCGGCCGCGGCCGGCGGAACGGGCTGCGGCTCGGGACCCACGCGGGCCAGTGTAAGCGTCCTGCCCTTCCTCCCGCTCCCGACCCCACCCGCGCCGCAGCCCCTCTCCTAGAGCCCTGGGGTCAGCGCCCGGCTGCCCGCCGAACCAACATCCTTTCCTTGCCCCTTCCCCTGTCCCCCACGGGGAGTGCAGACCCGGGAGGGGGCGCGTGTCCCAGGCTTTGAGCAGGTTGCGCCGGAAGGTGGCCACAGTCGCCCAGCGGGGACCAGGTGACGCACTCGGTCCCTCTGCTTTGCGCTCGGCCACCACACCAGCGGGGACCCGGCACCGGCCGAGCGCGCCGCCCCTGGAGGTCCCCCCTGGGCGGTACCGGACCAGGCGCTGAGCGCGGGCGCGGAGCCTTGGGGCGAGCCGAGGGCGCAGCGCCTCCCTGGCTGTCTCGCGCAGAGCCCGCCGCCCGCCGCCCGCGCCCCGGCTCCCTGCGTTGTGCGGTGCTTATCCGGCAGATTTTTAAGTCCCTTCAAAAAGCGTTTTCCTCCGCGCGTGTTGCTTGCGTCCTCCTGGTTGGGAGTTTGCGGTAGGCAGAGGGAGGGAGAAGAACCGCCCGTTGTGATCGGAAAACACCGGGAGACCAGACCATCTCTTTCTGCAGCGAGGAGAAAAGACGCCTTCGCAGGACCCACAACTACCTGCACCTCCCTCTTGCTCTCGGTGCGCCTTCCTACCTGTGCCTGACGTCCACCCAAGCGGGCAGGCATGGGCTGTCTGGGCAACAGCAAGACCGCAGAAGACCAGGGCGTCGATGAAAAGGAACGACGTGAGGCCAACAAAAAGATCGAGAAGCAGTTGCAGAAAGAGCGCTTGGCCTACAAAGCGACCCACCGCCTGCTGCTGCTGGGTAAGGTCGGAGGCTCGCGGCCGCTCCGCCCGGCGCGCCTGGCACCAGCGGAGCGCACGGCCGAGCTCCAGTCCAGGATAGCGGCGAGCACCGGGCGGGGCGGGCAGGAGCGGGAGGGGACCGAGACCCGACGCCGCCGACCGCGGCGAGCTCCTCCGCAGCAACCTGCGTGTCCGCGAAAATCCCCACGTAGGGGCAGGAAAATAATAGGGGTTAGCGGGGAGGGGTGGCCACGCGATGAGCGTACAGTTGACAGCATTCTTTTTGTTTGTTCCTAGGGGCTGGAGAGTCTGGGAAAAGCACTATCGTCAAACAGATGAGGATCCTGCACGTGAACGGATTTAATCCCGAGTAAGAAAGCCCAATTTCAGTTTTGCTACCGAATTGCATGCAGACTTTGTGACTTCTCTCCCAGCTCTCCCAACAATTCCTTTCTCTCAGCAGCTCCTTTGATGACCCAGGAGTCCTTTTGGCGGGGCGGGGTGGGGGGGAATAGAAATTCTGTTGTTGAACTTGCTTAATTTAGGCAAATCTTTCTTCTGGCAGTGCAGAGTTTAAAAAAAAATTGTTTAACAAAATATGATCTATTAGGTATTCTTGGGGTATTGATGTGCAATATTGGCACTGCTCTGAGCACTCAACCAATACATTGGTCCTTGGAGGGTGGGAGATTGCCTCCAGGACACCTGCCTATACCAGAAGTCCTGGGGTGACTGAGTTGTTACATAAAATGGCCTGGGTTTGATGTAACCCACACACATCCTTTCAAACACTTGAAATCACCTCTAGATGATTCATAATACCTGATATACATGTACATGTTATGTAAATAAATAATTGTTTAATAAATAATAACCGGGGAGTCTGTTGGGTGCAGATGTGGTTCTTTTCCCCTGTATTTTCTATATCTAGTCAGTTGACTCCACCTATGTGGAGTGCATATAAGGAGTCCAGCGGTATTTTAAGGTACACTTTTCTCTGTAGTCTCTCTTGCTCACATCTGTTTGTACACATGGGTAGATTTAAGTGTAGCCAAATCATTGCATTTACAAGCAGTGCTCATCACAATGTCGCCATGTTTTTGTGTGATCTGCATGCTTTAGTTATAAGACTGGGGCATTCAAGTTTGTTTAGAGTACAAATTAGAAAAGGGTTGTTTTCCTTTCCCTGGTAAAAACTTTACAGATGTTGTCCTGGGAGTCAATTCTGACCTCGAATTCTACCAATGCTGCATGAGGTGTAAAATCCCACTCATTGGATACCAATCAGTGCTGAGGGAGAATTAAATTAATAACTTTCTTCCAACATAGGGAGAAGAAACAGAAAATTCTGGACATCAGGAAAAATGTCAAAGATGCTATTGTGGTAAGAAATATTCTTAATGTTTGTTTACCAGAAAGATTAAGTAGTCTGTGCTCTAAAACTACACAAGTGGAGATTACATGTGTGAGATTATCACACGTGGAGCCCACATGTCACGTTTCTTTCTGTTTCTTTCTTCATCCCATGTTAGACAATCGTCTCAGCAATGAGTACTATAATACCTCCAGTCCCACTGGCCAACCCCGAAAACCAGTTTCGATCAGATTATATCAAGAGCATAGCGCCTATCACTGACTTTGAATATTCTCAGGTAAGTAAATCCTTCCAGAAATATTTTCAATAACTGTTTTTAATAGGATGGCTTGTTGAGAATCAGTGTTAATGCTCATTCATTATTAACTCTTCAAAATATAGCTCTATTAAATATTTCCTCTTTAAGAAAATATTCGTGTTTGTTAAAAGTATTAAAGACAGTAGGACCGTCACAAGTGCTTTCATGAATTTCATGGGAAGACAGCATGCCTTTAGGAAATCTTGGTTGAGCTTTTTCCTGTATTCTTTAAAATGAACAATTAAGCAACATCCTAGATCTCAACAGCAGAGATTACATTAGTAGAGAAGAATACTGATGGTACGCAATCACCTCCCTGGAGTAACAGAAAGGGCAGAGTCCTGCGGACTCTCAGAGGGCACTGTCCTGCGGACTCTCAGAGGGCACTGTCCGACTCCCCCACACCAGGCAGAGCGCGTGCACAGGTGTGCTGCATCCAGTTAAACCCTCCGCAGGCTGCCTTCCTCATCACTACTTGGCAGTTGGTTTGTGCAGAGGGGAGTTTTCAGTATTAGTGGCCTCTTGTTTGGTGGATTCACATTTCTTAAAAATATTGCCAGTTGGAAATTCCATGAAGCAGATTTTAAAGGAAAAATATTCAGTTCCTCAGAAAGCCATTTTTGCTACAGTTGCACCAAAAGAGCCTGTATGTGTGTGTGTGTGTGTGTGAGAGAGAGAGAGAGAGAGAGAGAGAGAGAGAGAGAGAGAGAGATATCAGTGAAAGTACATTAGCATTTTTGTGGCCTGGCTTGGTGGTTTGGAGACAGCCTTCATTCTTGGAATCCTATCTTCAAGGACAGCTTGTGTAGACACCAGTTTGTGAGTGGAGGGGCTCCGTCCACCCTGGCTGCAGGGCCGGGCACCCCCACTGGCCCACACCCTCTTAGCAAGGCTCTGTTGTCCGCACCCTCTGTATTGGTACGAGGAATAACAACTACGTTCTTATTTGCATCCTCTATTGTGATTTTTTTGCTTCTGACAAGCACCCCAACTTAGCCTGTGACACCACCAGAATTTTTGAAAAGAAGTTTGGGGTGGTACCCAGGCAGAGGAAGGGACTGGGCATCTGGCACAGGGGCACACTGTTCTTCTAAAATTGTCTTTACTTGGATGGCAGAGAAGGGTTGAAGGGAAGGTGGGGCCAGAGAGGCCAGGGCCACACGTCAGCCACACCAGGAGCCCCCTTGTACCAGCCAGAGCGTGCTGGTGACCTCCTAGGTCTCTGTGGCATTTTGCATGTAGGAGAAATCACCCAAAACGGTGGGGTCTAGTTTGGAAGCAGCAGTGGTGTCCCCTAGACATTTACAGACCACATGTGAACATGGACATCAGTTCTGCTGTGTCTGCTCAGGAAAGAAAGTCATCTCTCCACGTGTCAATAGGTCAAGACGCATCAATCAGTTCCACACCATTTTCTCCTCATGACGCACTCACAGAGAAGGGAGCCTTTATTCAATCTATTCAGAAACTGTCGGTATTATCCAAGGAATCCATTTGATTCATGAACGTGGTCTCTAAGTTAAATTATATTTAGTTTAAATAAAAATATTCAAAACTTGAGGAACCATTTCCTTTGAATGCATGTACTTTCACATTTGTTTTTTAAGGTTACTTAAAATTGGTGATCAGAAACCATAATTAACTCTCAAAAAAAATAAAAGAGAACTGGGCAGTAGCAGAGACAAAAGTAATGTAATCCTCTTTTAGAGATGATGCTCTTCTCCAGGGTGACTCCAGTCCTGTTGTAATGCTGACATTCTGCCGTCTGTCTACTCCTGTCAAATGAGAGTATGTTTTATTTACAACTTAGACTTACACAAATAAGGAAGTTAATATCAAATATATAGTGTTCCTTCTGAAAATGTTATTTTTATTTTATGATGCATGCACATGATTTCCAGGAACATGTATCCATTTTTCCCAGAGTGCCTGGAAATAGTCACACTACTTATTTTATTGGATCATAAGTTTCTAGGTTCTCACCTTTGGCTCTAGCTGTGCTGGGGACAAACCCAGGGCCTCCCATGCCTGGCAAGGGGGCTCCCTCTTGAACCACATCTCCAACCCCAGTAAAATAACTTTTGAACCAAATGTACTCTATTACCAGAAATCAATTTTGGGAACTGGGCCAGTAGCTCAGTGATAGAGCTCGCGCCTAGCATGCGTAATCCCTGGATTCCATCCCCAGGCCCCCAAACAGAACAAATCAAATTTCTGAGTTCTTCAAGTTCAGCAGGAGAAATTAGAAGAATAACTTATTTAGAAATACAGGTGGGTTCCGCTTTGTTCTACTGCCTTTTCTTTGAATTCACTTGAACTCTGAAACTTCAGGGGTGATGGAAGGAAGGGAAATGTGGCCCTGCCTAGAAGCCAGGACCACTATAGGCAGGGTAGAGCTAGAGGCCAGGTCTTGGCCTCCTGGGCCAGGTGCTGAGCACGTGCTGGGCAATGGGCTTCAGGAGGCCACTGTGTTTGGTCCAGATCACGCTGGCCATGGGGGAGGGGTCTGGAAGGAGGCAAGCTCTGGCGGCCACTTAGAGGCTGAGGTAGCATTCCAGATGCCAGGTGATAGGGTGACTTGGTGTGAGCTGGTGACCATGGACACCCAGAGAAGTGGCCCTAGTTAGGATTCACTGTGGAAATGGAGCCACTCAGACTGGCTGATGTTTGGACGTGGTTTGGGAGGGAGATGGAGAAATCAACAAGGCCAGGGGTTTGGCCTGAATTTCCCGTAGATGGTAGAAAGAGGGTGGGCAGAGTCGGGTGTGAGGAGGTGCCGCGAATTCTCCTGGTGGGTTGGAGACGCTGTTCATACTTGTCCTGCGGATGGGGTGGAAAGCCTGGTTTGCGGGTTTGGAGCCCAGGGTGGAAGAGGCTGAGGACCTTCAGACCAGGGATGTTCTGGTGAGGTGGTCGTTGAGGAAGATTCAGGAGCCGACGGGGAGAGAGCCAGAGGTCGAGGGACAGCAGCTGGGCCAGTGCAGGGCTGAGGGCTCAACTGGGCCTTGGGGTAACATGGCTTTGGCAGCTTGAGGTCCCCAGTGCCCTTGCCCTGGGCTGGCAAGTGTTAAGGAGAGGGTGCCGCCTGGGACCCTGGAGCCGCAGGGCAGACAGGCTTTCCAAAGGTCCTCCTGTGACGGGAAGCTGAGAAGCAGGGCAGTAAGTCCAAGGGCAGCAGAGGCCAGGGAGGGCTTCTCTTGAGATGAAAGATCTAGAAGCAGCTGAATGCACACGGCCTGAATTGTCTGGTGAAGCAGGAGAAAGTGGCAGTACAGGCGGAGAATGGCTGTTGACAGGGCAGAAGGACAGACTACCTGCCACTGGACAGGAGGGAGCGCAGAGCAGCAGGCGCAGGCCAGGTGAGGCTTCAGATTTGGTGGCACAGAGTTTGCTAAAGCAAACTGGCGACTTAGGTGAAGATGACTGTCTCGTGTGGGAATCATCCAGAGCCAACCCACCTGCCATTTGTGGTTTTGTTTGAGCTCAGTGGACAATGACAGTTGAGCCCTTTTGACCTCAAGCCCCAGGACACAGTTATTCCCTTCACCAGCCAACAGTGTAAACAGGGAGTTCTTGCAGACATGAGAAGCAAACGATCCAGCTGTCCTCGAAGCCAGCAAGAGGCTCACTGCTGGATACTGTGGAATTCTGGGGACAAGCCCAGCACAATGTGTTGGATTTGAATTTCAAATAAAAATAAATGAAAAAGCGCTTTGCAGCATGTAAATCCAAAGGGAAAGGGAAGGTGCTGGTCCAAGGTGACTCATCCAGCCCCCGTTGCCTGGGATAGTGTTTTCCCCATCAGTGTGTCCAGACTTGAGATCACCCTGGCTGGGCACTGACTCTCCCCAAGACCCCTTCCCTGGCTGGCCCCAGGTCTTTGCAACCCAGTTTTGGATCCCACCTGATGCATATACACAGGGAGGGAGGGGAGATGAATAGGCTGTAGTAACTATCACAAGAGATCGGAGATCAATGGGTCGATTATTAATAGGAAAATGTCATAGTTGCTCCAAGTCCCCAAAAAGCCTTTGGTGTGGAACTAAGCAAAATCACTGCTGAGAAAAACTGAAGTGCTTATTTGTTAATTTTTCTTCTTCAAATGTGATATTGTATTGGCTCTTTTAAAATTATGTTTCATTAAATTTTTAAGGGGAAGAGAATAAATGAGTCTTAATAAGAAATGCAAAAGCAGTCTCACCTTGTGGCGCACGCCTGTCATCCCAGTGGCTGGGGAGGCTGAGGCAGGAGAATCACAAGTTTAAGGCCAGCCTCAGCAACTTTACAAAGTCCTAAGCAACTTAATGAAACACTGTCTCAAAATTAAAAAATAAAAGGGAAGTGGAGCTAGGGACATGGCTCATTGGTGAAGTGACTCTGGGTTCAGTTCTAGTATTGCCCCCCACAAAATGTAGTTCTATCTGGCAGTCGATGACCCATCGTTACCACTGGATGGCTTCTAAGTTAAAAATCCAGAGAGCTAGCTCGTCAGTGGTGCTCAGCTGAGCTAATGTGTGAGTGCTCAGTTAAAGTAGAGACAGAGGACCCCCCAGGGACTGGGGCAAGGTCTGGCGAACCAGGCTGGCCAGTATGGGTCTCAGCTCTACTGTCTCTGGGGGCATGACCTCTTAGCTACGCTCGCCCATGTGCTCTGCCTTGTGGCGAGTGAGTGTAGAATTTCTAGAACACACGGCAGTCATCCAGCTTAGGGGCTTTCCTTGCTGTTTCTGTTTGTCTGAGTCAATCAGCCAATTTGAAGCCACTGTGTAAATCGGGTAAGAGTGCGTGCCTCCGTGGGAGCCCAGGTCCCCAGCACCGTCCTCCAGTGGTGCTCCCCTGGACCTTCCTCCCAGGCCCCCCCACTCAGCCAGGCACTGCTGGGAGATGCAGGCTTTCTGTGTCAGCTCCCCGAAGAACAGCTGGGGACCAGGCCCCCACCCCCCACCCTCAGCTGGCACTGGAATTTGCATCTCATGTCT